AGTTCTCATTACTTCTCTCCCTTAGTGCAGCCACAATCTTCTCACACCCAACTACAATAACAATCAACAGCCGGAAAAGAACAGAAATCCGGAGCATAGGAGTATCTTGCGATGGAAGGCATGCATTGCAAGCAAGCAAACCGAAATTAGTAGAAACAGCCAAGCAGAAACAGCAAAGCCACATATTTTCCAATGCCAAAAATTCGCATAGAAGTTCCAATTGTATTCACATCTTTGCTAAAAAATCCAAGAAGACACTGTTGATAAAACAATAAAGCCACATAGTTGATAAAACAACCTACTTATCGAGCAAAAAGCCAAGAAGACACTGTCGCTTTCCAGAAAAATGAAATTCCAATTGTTTCTTTGCTCAAAAAATTGCACTTTTACCAGTGTAAAAGATTAGTACCATTAAACGATGTCTCTGAGTTCCTTCATATGCATATATGTGTTGCAAAACATTATCCTTTAAAGAAGGTGCTGAGAATTTGCAAAACAAAGCCAAGAAAACATTTTTTGAGACTACTCGTTAATGTTAGCCGAAAAATGAGCCTCTACTGAAACTCAGCACATGTAACCAAAGCACCCACAAGATGATTGCATCTAAGAGAGCCAATAACCCCTAGATAGATGAAAATTCATTGAAATCCCTCACCCATGCATTAATTAAAAAGGAATTCGTCTGAACAACCAAATCCATCCAACAACCGAACCCACCCAACAAAAACAGCAAGCAATAGAATGTAATGCACAAGTTAAGTAATTCCAGGGGTCTTATAGTGGCTAGCTCTCTTCCATTGATACAACCTTTCCTTGAGATTTCTCAGTCCTCCAATAAACATATCAATTAATAGGTCTTATAGTGGCTAGCTCGAAAAAACAGCAAGAACACATCAATAGCAAAATGTTATTACAAGCAAAATGTTATTACATCATTTTCTGTGTGCTTCAACAGATTAGTAACCAACAAGCTCGAAAAAACAACAAGCACTAGAATGCTGGAAAAAATACCACATCACAAAGAGCAGATCAGTCTCCAAAAATGCAGATGCACTCTCCAAAAACATCAAAGCAGATACAGCAGAAGCCGAACCAAACAGGGGATTTCGAAAATGTATGTTCACTGTCAAAGTAAAGAATGGGGAAAACGAAAATAGTAGATGGAATCAAAAACACAACTTCCTAATCACAAGCAAGAGAAGAAGGGAATGATCAATCCCCCTCCCAACCCAACTCAACATCATTTGGAGGAAGAAGAGTAAGGTATCATGACATTAACAAGCCAACTCCACATCAATTCGACAGCTCATATGCACTGTCATCTATGCACTTCACACTACTAATTGCATTAACAACTACGACTACACATGAATCAACCACCACAACCACAATCTGCGACCAATCTTGAGCCGTCAACCACCAAACAAGAATTTGTCAAACGAGAAGGTAAAGAGAAGGCAAAACCCTAGTGATGAAAGGAAGGGGTAAAGAACATCACAGTTGTTTTTTCCATGTGTTGAAGAAAAAATCGCCGAAGTAGGAAGGATAGGAGTAGAGAAAACATCACATTCGAAAAAATCGTAAAGCACCCTCAAATCTGCGATTAGAAGAAGAAAAATGCTCGTTATACCTCAGATCTGTCGATCGCGGGGCAACGAAGCAAGAGGACGAAGGAGAGCCGCAAGGGAAGTCGTTAGGGCTGAAGAGAAACGAAAGGGGTAAGCGGGACAATGGGTAAGAGGAAAGCGGGGACCGCGGCCTAATATCGCGGCCGCGGATCGATCCGCTTCGCCAACAATTTGCCGCGAAACGTCGAACCAAACACCGGAATGCGGGACAAAGCCGCTGTCGCACGCCCCCCCGCACAGCCGAAGCACCAAACAGTGCCTAAGAGAAGATGTTCAATTGACTCTGAGGAGTCTATAATGACTCATCTCTGTACTTAAATAAAAAACATCACTAAATAAGAAAAAAACTTATCAACATCGTCATTTTTGGTAGGTACCTTCTAGGTAGTCTCATTGGTCTCGGGACCGTCCTCTCACTAGATGTCAAGGTCAAGAGGCTCCCAGTGAATTCTTTCAACCACATAGAGATAAAAAGTACGAGATTGCTCCAAGTTGCCTCATATAGCGATCACCTCCCCATCACTCAAATACTTAATGCTAGATGGTGCACAAAGGTGATGACTTGGAAGGAGTTGAGTGATGGCGACTGAAGATAACAATGTAGGTGAGAGGAGAATCAATCACAAGAAAATATGCAATCTTGGTGAATTTCTTACACGTTCTCCTCAGATGAAGGACATGACAAGCATTTTTATAGCTTCATTCCTTTCTCCAGAGAACTCATAGAGTTGCCCAAACATGGCCAAAAAAGGAGAGGTGCTCAAACATATTTTTTCAAAAACTGATGTTAAGATAATGTTCATTGAGCTTTTGATGTCAATGAGTTGGCTTCCTTTATGATAATTGATAATCAAGATGGTCACAACAATAACAACGTTGTAAGGAATGCTCCTCGGTGGTAGGTTTGCATTATTAAAAGAGATAGGAGGGTTGAAGATAATTCATCTTTCTAAAATCTCTTAATGATGGCTTGACATGATGACTCTCTTCCATCCCCTCTGAAGATGGTTGAAAATATATAAGATGTGCGTATCGCGTGAGATTAGACCAACTTGCTTACGATTTCTTAAATAGGAGCCTTTCCCAATCACTGGATGTTTGCCAATGCGCCATAAACTCCATTAGTTTCTCAACTTTGATTAAATCCTTTAGCAGACTTCAAAGGTGTTGTTACACCTTAATGTCATAACTTTGTTGTGATGGTACACACATTACCTTCTTGAGTCCCTCAAATACTCTTTGGGTTTCATCGGGGTGACCTTATTGAAATAATTTTTGTTTTGAATGACTTCCACTATCTTGACCATCAAGACTCTTAGAGGAGTCTCCTTGGGTATTTCGTAAGCTGGTACAATTCACTCCTCATATTGAGCTTGCAACCCCTCGAGGTATCAGACTCAGTTCTCCTGATAATTGGGTATATTAGCCGCCTGATTATCTTCACAAATCCTTGAAGTAAGCTCAAATAGAAGGGTGAGGGTTGTGTCTCTGCTTCCACCTTTCTCCATGGACAATTTTCTTTGGCATTTGACAATTTCCTTGCTTGGTTCTGAATGATGCAAGGGAAAGTTGTATTGACTTGTTCCAATAACTTAGCTGATGACTTTAGTCGCAATAGTTTCAACATAAACTAAAAATATCCTTCCTTTAATACTTGCGTGAGGACAACACGAGCAATCGTGGGTTTCAAATTCTAAACCTCCAACATTCCTTTTGAAAATGAGTGATGATGGTGCACAGAGTCCAACTTAGTTTCTAACAAAGTCGTAGGATAATATGCAAATTCTTTTGGAGTTTCTGTGCACTAGCGAAAAGTGTAACAAATATTCACTTAAAGTCTACAAGTGACATGATTGCTCTTATCGGCAATCCGTTAAACCACTTGAGAGTTTAGTCCCTCAATGTGGTAAATAAGGGGCGACACTTTAGTGCGTCATTGATTTTGAGCAAGCATGCAGTTGACTCGAAGGACACTACATGATCAATCGAGTCCATAAGTCCCATAAATGATTCAAGCATCCAAATCTTGATTGGTTCCAGTGGCTTGACAATGTAGATCTGCCAAAAGAATCCATTCTTAGGTTAGTGCGGCATGTCACTGCGCCAGTTCAAATGCTATTCTATTGGTGTTGACCTAACATTATCAAGATACTACGCTTCATCCTCCCTTTCCAAGGCTAGGGGAGTTTCTAACGTTAAGTGCGGAGCATCTTGTCGGGGTTGTTGATTCTGCTCTTGATTCAATGCACCTTTGATCATCTCTAACATTCAGGCCTTTAAATCTCGGATCAGTTGCACCACAAATTATCTAGTGCACTCCGTGTTGTGAGATCCTTAATTTTACATGACTCCTATCCTTGTTAATGGTTTGATATACGCTCACCTCCCATTTTAGGTTGTTAAACATGAGACTATCCATGAATCACACTCAAGAAAAAGAGCATAAATGACTAGAGAGAGAGATGAACAATGACAAATCATGTCCTCTTCATAAAATAATACTTTTATTTATATAGGAGATAATACGATTGTGATATTACATATTTACCCTATTTGGAAGGGGTCGATATTAAGTTATTTATGGTATTTTACAATTTTCGGCTTATTGTCCGACTGTCTTTTGTCAGCCTGCTGAGCTTAGTTGACTTCAAGGCAACGAGGTCAGCTCGGTCAGCTGAATTTGGTTGTCAGTATAGTTCGGTTGGCCGAATCAAGCTAGTTGACTTTCTTCTATCCCTAGTGAGGGGCCATTAGAGTCTATACGTGACGGTCGGAGATACTTAGCAGTACTAAATCTTTCCATGGATCAGTTATATTAGGGGATAGACTATCACATCAACATGCTTTCTTATAGTGGTCGACTCAAATACTATTTTGGTCTCATTTCCTGTAGGATGACTCGTGCTTGGATCATTGGTCTCCTTTTAATCCGTCTAGTGTTTTGATCTGTTTTGGCATAGTTGACTTGGCCCATACAACTTTATTCTTTCGGTCAGGTGAGTCTCATGATCTTCTGATAGTGGATCTGCCTCTATCACATTCCTCTATTTTGAACCGTTAGATTTATTTAATAACAATATATACACATTTTTTATGCATAATTTTATAATACTAAAAAATAATAAACAGAAATGTCAAATTTAAGTGTTAGCCATACAAATACTTAAGAATCGTGCTTCATGTATATGTAAAATTCTCTTACATTAATTCAAAATAAAATATAAATTATTTAAAAAAATTCTTCTTCCTCTTTCACGAGAAAATATTAAGTGGCAGTCAGCATATGACATACATGAGATGTCTCAGACTAGAGAAAATATTACTTCCGTCGTCCGGACGCCGAGCTGCTTCCCGGCGACGACCATGATATAGTGGAGGTCCGACTTCCACTGTATCATGGTAGCTCGATGTCCGGATGATGAACGTAATAGTTTTTACTTTGACCGAGCTATCACCGATTGATAATGAAAATGACAATATTTTCTACACTTTCACCGGCACAAGTCAGAGTGAACTCAGTTCCTAACTCAGGGGAGTGAGAGGCGTCATTTGCCAGCAAATAGCCACTTATTTTGACTAACAGCATTTAAAAAAAATATCCCTCAATCCAACTGTATCCCTCGAGGAACCACCGGCATCCCCATCAGTCCCACCGACTTTCCCGGCGGCGCGATACCCCATGTCGTCGACCGCTACCTTCTCGCCGCCACCAATGCCGCCAGAGGGGGCTGCTTCCTTCGACTCTATTTCCCGCACGCTCACTGAGATATGTTCCACCGACGACGACTTCACGTGTGACCCTCCTCGCCGCTTCACCGCTCTAGTCCGCCGACTGCAACTTCTCTTCCAAGAGGTGGCCGCCTTCGCTGACCTTTCACCACCTCCGGCTCTCACAGCCATCCGCGGAATCTCCGCCGACCTCGAAGCCTCCCGCGCCCCTCTCTCCGCTTACCGTAGTCCAAGCCGCATCCGAATCCTTATCAACTGCGACCCCCTCTGCACCTCCCTCCGCACCCTCGCTTCTTCCATTTCCTCCTCCCTCAATCTCCTCGACTCCCTTCTATCTCCTTTTCCCGACCTACGCAAGAAAGCTGCTGATCTTTCCGTAGATTTCCAATGCTCGGACATAAGAGTAAAGCTCTCGACATTCACTCCTCTCCTTTATGTCTTCTTGTTCTCATCGAAATTTTTGTACAGTTGACGGAGAACGAGGTAAGGGTTTACCGTACATTGCAGAAGGAGGCGGAGGTGCGATCGATCAGCAAAGCGGTGCAGAGCGCCATTATTATGGATGTTGCCCGGGCCCTTGGAATCGACCCCTGCGACCACCCTAAGCTGTCCGAGAACATCAAGCAGCTTAGATCTGATATCTCATGTGGTTTGAGCTCGGTCGCTGAGCGCAAGATCCTGATGTCTCTCGAGAAGATCTTCGATAGCTGGTCAACTGAGACCTGCCTCGCGACCGCTTATCTGGACGCGGATTTTGAAGAGAATGCTCAGATCCCTCCTTTCAAGAGCTTCATCTGCCCTCTTACTAAGGAGGTAATGAAGGATCCCGTGGTTCTGGAATCCTCGCAGAACTATGATCGGTTTGCTATTCTGAAATGGTTTGAGAGGTGCATGGAGGACGGAAGGGCTCCTACCTGCCCTATGACCGGTCAGGAGCAGGTCTCATTGGAGCTGAAGCGAAATATTGGGCTTGCTGGGACGATTGAGGAGTGGGTTAATCGAAACATTGAAGTCCAGATAAAGGCGGCATTGCAATACCTTGGTGAAGGAGGGCTGAGTTCAGAGGATAGTGCGGAGAAGGTGCTGAATAGTCTGTATAGAATATCAGAGGAGCATCCTGAAAGTAGATATAGGGTTAGAAATGCTGGGATTGTTAATCTTGTTGTGCAAATGCTGAAGAAGCAATCGAAGTTGATGGGGTCACGCTTGCGGTGGAAAGCACTTATGACTCTGCATAGCATGGCGAGGGATGAAGAGAGCAAGGTACGCATAATATTAGTTAGGAAGATTTACATACATACCACTCACTTCCTATATATATATATATATCTAACATCTAAACTTCAATTTTTACATACTTACCACCTTACCTATGCATGAGAAGGTGTTTGAAAAGTTAAAATGGTGGTATTTTTGATACATATGAAAGATTTCAGTGGTATAAATATAATAAGTAAATTTTAGGTGTTCGATATGTAAATACATAGGAAATGGGTGGTATGTATGTCAAGCTTAGTATGCATTACAAGTTCATACTTTTCAAAATTTCTCTCTGCATTTTCTCAATTCTATTGACTCCCTTAGAAACCTCTCATATGGCAGAATTACTGATACTTTACGTCGACGTTGACTCTCCATCGAGTATTGATATACTTGCTTCCTAAATTTTGTGAAAAAAATCTGAAATGGGAACTGACAAATGCTTGATTTTCTATCCCTTTTTTGTTTGTCAAACCAGTGCATGCTAAGTAATGTGATAAGATGGTTGTAATTATCCTTCCTTTGGAGCAATCATGTTATAGTTATTAGTCTTGGGCCATCAACTAGTTGGTTTGGAGTACAAGGGTTTTCAAAATCCAGTTGCGTTTAATAGTCATTTCGAGCAATAAACATTTTATAGCTATATTTGTTGCAGTTTTATAATGGTGATTTGCTGTTTGTAACGGTCTGCCTTCGTAAGCCGAGTAGATAAATTACTCTATTTTGTAATTCACTGCATCTTTGACTGACCAGAACAATAAAATGTGACTTGCATGTTTGCTGTATAATTTATTCAAATGTTTGTTGACTATGAAAGCATTCTAACCTATTGCTTAACTTAATTTTAGACAGTGTATAAGTCAACTCTCATGTTTCTTCATCCAAAGCCATACATCATGGCATCTAGCACTGAAGGCCTAATATTCCCACTTTTTGAATGTAAATTAAAGCCCAAATGGATGGATTTACCTTAAATTGAACCTTAAGTTTTCCTTTACTGATTCGATAAAAACTCATACTCAATTTATTAAGCATTTGAGGTTTTGATGAAGATATAATGCGGTAGTTTCTTAAGCTTAATTAAACTTTAGGGATGAGAATTGTAGAGATAGCACTAGTTTTGCAGGAATGTAGAGCGCAGGTTTTTAGTAATATATAGCATGCTCCTAGACAACCAGAGTTCATTTTTAGTTAGAGATTATGACCGTCTTTACACTTTTATTATGAAATGGCGCCACAAGGGTACACGTCTTATCAAAGAATAATATATATATATATATATATATATATATATATATACGCGCGCGCACACGCGCACACATACACAGAGACAAAATTAGGCTTTTCTTGAGCAATTTTTTAAAACTTCTATGATATCTTACATGATATTTTAAAGTCAACAAAAACTTTTATATCCTATAACATTTATTTAACTGTGTATTTGAAAATCCCAATCCAATATTTGCAAGGAATATGCCATCTCAATCATATTTTATAGAGATTTAATGAGGAAGCTTTTGAATGCATAACTTCAATAATTTTTCACTTAGAAACTAAATTTGTACCACATCATCTTGTACTGAGGTTAATCAAGGCTTTACAAAACTTTCTCCCTTTTTTTTTATACTAATTTTGAGAGCATATCTGATGCCAGAGTGAACCAACAACTATGGGAAAACCAAATATTATTGTTGAACCAAATAGGATATTACGAATAGACAACATAAATAAGAAATAACAACAAAAACAATACAAGAAATATAAAATTGCAACATATGACAATACAAACTCGGCTTGGGGTGGATCTTGGGGTGATGGTGGTCATCGTTGAATGTTGGAAGGTGGCAGGATGATGGATGAGGTGGTTGACACACATAAAACAACAAGACAACAATTTTTTGGGTTGCAAACAACGAGCACACAACAACTATCAATGTGGGATTGCTGTTCGGGATCAACAACAAAGAGGGATGACTGGAAAGCAGCGACAACGAAGATGGAGGGCTAGAACGGCGATGACAGTGAGGATGGAGGGCTGTTTAGGGGTGCTGGCAGCAAGGAGGGGGGATAGGGTTCTTGGAAGGCGATCACAAGTCAGAAGGGAGAGTGCGAGGCTTGGAAGGAAACAACACGATGGAATTAAAAAAAACAACCACAGAGGGCTGATTTCGGGTGGCTGTAGCAGGTGCGGCGATGGCTGCAGTGGAGGGAAGGATGCAAAGGAAGGGAAAGCCGAGGATAGCCACAACTTTGGAATTAGATATAGGTGGAGCACCACTCACCCTTGGATGAAACCCTAGAAGAGAAAATCAGACGTCGATGGCTATCTCGATAGAAAAACATTAAAAACTAAACCTAAAGCATCATAAAAATAAATATATATTAATAAGATAACTAGGAGCTGTCTAATAGGACCGTTCAACTCAACAATAACGTAAAAACCCATACTGGTTCGATTCAAGCACTGAGAATTCTCTTGCAGCACGCTCTACACAATCTCTCAGGATAGGGGAAATTTCAACCTTATCTGTCGAAACTTCTGTCGTCTCATAGTATGAAGTTGGATCGACTAATTTGAAGGTAGTGGAGCTACTGTAACTTCTCGTTGTTGAAAAGTTTTTTAATGCGTTGATATAATCATTTGGGTTCCACTGTCAGTTTCACTCTCCCTAGACACCCAAGAAGGTTTTCCCATTTACGAGTAACCATCCATATCAGTCCAATTATATGAGGGCATGCTGTTGAATTTAGGTGCGTTTGTTTCAATTTTTCGGCCCACTTTCAAAACCGAGTTCATAAATTTACGTGTTTGGTTGCGGTTCAAGTGAACGCATTTCAAACCAGTGACACAAATTTGGTGAAGTATCTCGACCGTAGCTGCCAAACAGCTTCCCGCGTCTGACATTCCGTGTCCATGGTCAATTCCTTGTTTTACCCGCACGAAATGATTTGCTGCACGAAATCAAATGATTAATGATAAGTTATTTTATTATAATTGTTAACGCATTTTAAAATTTGAGCATGAGATAATTTAATGCGTAAGAATTAAATTATAAGCAGACAAACACATTTTAAAGGAACCAAATTATTGTAATATAAAATTATAAAAATAAAAACAAATGCATACTGAAAAAAATATAAGCACATAGTTAAAAATAAAATAAAGTAAACAAAAATTTACATGCATAATTCCTAATTCTTGTACATTTACTTATGTCACATCCAAGCTGTAATGATTTTTTGTTGTATACATACAACCTAACTCTTATATATTTAAAAACTTTGAATTCTATACAACATGAGTAGAGGGGTATTTTAGACATTTGTCCACAAACAACACTTTCAAAATTGTATTTTTCTAACAGATCAGCTGCTTCTAAAATACCAGCTTCTGAACATCGGATTTTTATAGCAATTTGAACTACCAGCTTCTGAACATCGGATTTTTATAGCAATTTTTGAATTGAGATTTCGTACAGCCACAGCTGAAACAAATGCACTCTTAATTGGGACTTCCAGCCAAGTATACTCTACATGGTCTTCCAAAGGTAACCTAATGTTGGGTTATTCCTATCCAACGTGAGAACATACTAAACTCTCCCTAAAGGTGCCGACTCTGGCAACAAGCTGTTAGTCAAGCTATCTTAAAACTCTCTCTGTAGTGCCTACCTTGTGTTTGAAATCGATTATTCTGTCTCACTATCCACTATCATCACGAAAATCGATCTCACCGTCGTTTCTTCGATGGCAAGGGCGCTGACAACCTCAAATTTTGTAGAAGGTAGGGGGGCTATGCACTTCCCATCCTTTTTGAAAGAGTAGGCATTATTGAATCCATCGTGCTGAGTTATGTGGTCGAATTGCCACAGTTTCTCCAATAGAACGTGGGAAGCATTTATAGGCACCACATTGCATCAAACCTGAGAAATCTCTACGAAGCATCTACTGTTAATTTTGACCCTATTCTCCTTCTTCAACCATGTCAGAGAATATGATTGAGAATTTCTTTGAGTCATGAGGCTCAATTTGTTCACCATCTATGTGGGTGCTACATTCTCACTGCTATCACCATCGATGATGAGATTACATAGCTTTCCCTTTACAGTGTACTAGGTGTAGAATATATTGTGGCGAATCTACTGTTGCTCTCTCTTTGTCTCAATCTGAAGGACTCGTCGAACCCCAAGTATCTCGTCCTCATCTAGTGGAAGCTGGTGCTGCTTACTCTGTTTTTCAACCACCTCTTCATTGTTCACTTCCTCCACGACACCTTGCTCGATGAAGGAAAACAACTTGATTCATTGGACAATTGGAGGCGATGTGGTCATATCCATGACATCTGACACATTTCTTGGCTGGAATTGTACTGGTCATGCTACTCTTCTTAGACTTCTTCTCAGTCCGGGCAACTCTGTCATTTTCCTGATCATACTTCTCAACACCTGTAGGCGCACTCTTGATGTCTACAGCTGTGGGTTGCTCTCTAAATGGAGGTTGGTGTCTGCTCTACTCATGCTATCTGTCCACCTTCAATGTTAAGTTACGAAGATCACTCAACATCCAATAAGTTTGTAGCTGGAACTTATTGGATGTTGAAAAGTTTTTTAATGCTTTGATATAATCATTTGGGTTCCACTGTCAGTTTCACTCTCCCTAGACACCCAAGAAGGTTTCCCCATTTACAAGTAGCCATCCATATCAGTCCAATTATATGAGGGTATGCTGTTGAATTTAGGTGCGTTTGTTTCAATTTTTCGGCCCACTTTCAAAACCGAGTTCATAAATTTACGTGTTTGGTTGCGGTTCAAGTGAACGCATTTCAAACCAGTGACACAAATTTGGTGAAGTATCTCGACCGTAGCTGCCAAACAGCTTCCCGCGTCTGACATTCCGTGTCCATGGTCAATTCCTTGTTTTACCCGCACGAAATGATTTGCTGCACGAAATCAAATGATTAATGATAAGTTATTTTATTATAATTGTTAACGCATTTTAAAATTTGA